CATATCTAAGACCTTTGGATCTCAACATAAGGGTCAGGGTCTCCTGATGGGTCACATGACAAATCTGAGCTGATTAATGGTGGTTCTGATATGAAAATGTGCTTTGTCACTAATTTTTTCTTCTTTTTTGAGTTACTTGTTCAGGCTGTTGATTAAACGCCTATAAACTCATCTGTGTATACATGAAATTTGCGTATTTACAGAGGAATTTTTTTGCATGAAAATAATGCAGCTCACCTATAACCTACTGTAAATGTTGGATCAATTCAGACATAAATGTTTGCAGCAGTCGTCGTGTTATTGGCAGGAAAAAGAGGAACAACAATGCAGATTCTTTACATGAGTAAAACCAGTCCTGAAGTTAAAAGTCTCGACATTTGAAACTTTTAACAACCCAATGCATGACACAGCATTTTATTACTTGAGGTCCAGTTACTTCATCTATCAGGTAAAGTCATATCTAAGACCTTTGGATCTCAACATAGTGGTCAGGATCTCCTGATGGGTCACAGGACAAATCTGAGATGATTAATAGGCAAGGACAGAAGGAGTGGGTCTGATATGTAAATGTGTTTTGTCACTTATCTTGTTTTTTTGTAGAATATTAAGTAATTTTTACCAAAGCTATTACTTGAAATCTTATTCGGGTCGTTGATTAAACACCTAAAAGCTCATCTCTGTGTATGAAAGTTGCATATTTAGATTTTTGCATGAAAATAATCCAGCTCACCAGTGAATCTACTGTAAATACTGGATTAATTCATGCATAAATATTTGAAGCATAAATCAGTTCTGAGGAAGAATAATGACACATAAAGATCTGTTTTATAACCTGACTGATGCTGGCTTTTTGGGGCCCACAAATTTTAAGTTGTAAGAAATTCTGATCTGAATATATGAATACATCGGCCGATACTGTTCGAGCTTTACGAAAAAGGGAAAAATACAGGATATATTTTCAAAAACTTTCCAGCAATGATACAAACTATGAAGACAAAGCTTGACTCTGCACCGCTGTCTGCTCTGCTACATGTGCTGCAGACAGTGCTGAGCATTGTAAATAATGTATGTAAATAATTAAGTCGGGGCTGCTCTGCTGGAAAAACTGAGATGACAGCGTTTCTTAATTACCCCAGACATCTTCGTCTGTATTATGTTCTGTCTCTCATACTGGTGCACATTCAACAATATATATGCAGATACTGATTTACCTATGATGGGCCGAAACCTTAAACACATGCTTTTGTCATCAGTACACTACAGTTTAAAGGTGGGAATGCTGGCATCTTCCAGTGTATAAAAAACACCATATGGACACATTGACAAGGTAAAAAAAAATGGATTTCAACAGAGAAGGTGTTTAAATTAAACCATATGACAAGTTTAAAGTGAAAATGTCTCCTACAGAGCTGCTGGAATGTGTTGCATCTTAGAAGTTTATAAAGTGTATTTAAAGTAAACTTGTAATCTGTAACCCAAATACTAACTCGATTAAATGTAGTGGAGGAAAGAGGACATTTCTCTCTGAATTGTAGGAGCATGAAGCACCTCCAAAATGTCCAAAAGTGAAGTTCCTGACAATCCTAGCTTCTTGCTGATAAACTGAAGTGACCATTGACTCCTGCTGAGTTCAGCATTTTCCACTGTTCGCATTGAATGAAAGGAAATTGTCGGTTTTATTCAGCAAACTTTCTGCAGACTGCAAAGCTCAATCAGTTGCTTAACTTCTCCCAGCAGTGTCAGATGAGGATACAATCTGAACACACGCTACTATCTCAAGTGGAATAACCATTTCCATCCTTGCCTTGTTTTCACTTTGGTCTCCTCCCCTTCCTTCCGCAGTTTGCAGCACTTTAAATGCACATAGTTCGATTAAGTTGGTGTGCAAAAATAGCCAAAAAATGTCGCTAATCTAAATCCAGGGCGAGATTGCGTAATCGTGATCATGGGAACTGGTTCTGAAGGAGCAAAAACTACTTTTATCATTTGAGCCTCCAGAGGAAACGCGGTAATTTAGTTACATAATAAAAAGAAAGTTGTTTTTCATGGTCAACCTGTTTTTCTCCACTTTTCCAGCCTCCACTCACCGACTGGCTGCAGGTAATCCCTGGTGCCGCGTCCACGGTCTCCACAGCTGCTTCCCCGCTGCAGATAAAGCGCAGCTGTTGCGCACAGGTTGGAAGCTCAAGGCCAGCCTGGGGATCATCGTGTGCAGCTGCAGGTCACCGCGCCCCGATGCAAAAACTTCAGCGGAACCACCGAGCGCGTCAGGGCCGCAGAGGTTCTTGGGTCTGACCGCTGCGCACCGCGGGACGCACCGGACTGAGCGATCAGGAGGAAGCCGAGCCTCTGACTGAGGTGAGAGCGCAGCTGTGTTGACTTACTGTTTTTATGGAGCTGCTCTGACCTACTGAGGGCGCTGCCAGAGGAGGCGCCTTCACATCCAAACATCTACCCGAACCAGAGGCGGAGAGTTGGGGGGAGACGCACAAGATACTGGATACTCCCCCTCAGTACTTGGAACACAAGCATGGTTTACTTCTCTTTAGGGTAATTCTTCTTCTTGTGTCTTCTTTTGGTTTTGCATTCTCTTTTTTATACTCATTTCTCTTCAGGCTCTTCATTTTCCTTTTATAAATATAAATATGACAGATAAATCTTTGACCACTCCTCTTGTCAGACTTGATGCAGTTCAAGTAAATCTAAGGTTTGGTTCTTCATCCCAGTCCACGGTGAGCTTTAAGGCAGGACTTCAAGGAAGCGGGTCTAAATTCTTAATTCTAGCCTGACTCAACCATTTCTTAACCCCTTTTGATGTGTGTCTGGGGTCGGTGTCCTGCTGAAACACCCAACTGTGTCCAAGACCCAACCTCTTGACTGATGATTATAGAGTTTCCTAAAGAATGTGGAGCTAATCCTTCCTTATTCCATGTACTTGGCAGCAGAAAGGCCCTCACCATGCTTGAGGGTAGGTTTGGTGTTCTCGGGGTTAAAGGCCACATTCTCTCCTCCAAACATGTTTCTGGTCATTGTGGCAAAATAGCTCAATTCTTGTTTCATCTAACTACAAAACTTTCCTCCAGAAGGCCCTTTCTTTTTCTTTTTTTTTGTCTATGTGATCAGCAGCAAACGTCAAGGTTCTGCTTCTAGAGGAAGAACTTCCTTCTCCAGCTCATGTTGATGTGAAACACTGTGGACACTGACAGCTGTGTTCCAGCAGCTTCTGATTGACTGCAGACCTGCTTTTTGGTGATTCTTGACCATCCTGATCAGCCGTCTCTCAGCAGGAGGTGATAGGTTGTATCATATTTAATACATAAACACCAGCAACTCCACGAATATTGACATATACTGCATGTTTTTAAACCTTGTTCTCATTGTTGTTATTTTGCCTTTGAGCTATCTTGCTTTTGCTTTGTCATATCACTTTGTAAACCCTTAAAAGTCCTCTATAAATAAAGTGATCTTTCTATGTTTGTGGTCTTGAACTTCTCTTTGTCATTTTGAGTCTCTTTGTGGTCATTTTCGATATTTCTGGTGTGTAGCTTTAAGTCCTTTCTTTTTCTTTGTGGTTGTATTACTGCTCTTTGTCAACAGCAGTGTCTGGTTGTGGTCACTTTGTGCTTGGTTTGTGCTTTGTTTGAGACTCTTCTGAGTCATTTTGCATGTCTTTGGTGTCATTTTTCATTTGTTTGTGGTTGTTTAGAGGTTCGTTGAGATTGTTTTTACTTCTGTTTCTGGCCGCTTTGCATCTTTGTCGTCATTTCACATGTTTTTGCTCAAGTATGAGACCATTTAGGTGTTGTTTGTGGTCATGTTTGTGTTGTTTCTGCTTTCTTTGTAATTGTTTTGCATCTCTTTGTTGCCATTTTGCATGTTGGTATCATTTTCCTATTCTCTGTGGTCACTCGGTGTCTCTGCGATATTCGTCAGTCTCTTTGTGGTCATTTCACATCTTTTATGTGTTGTTTTACTTCTCTTTGTAGTTGATTTTCATCTGTTTGTGGTAATTTAGCCTATTTTTGGTAGAATTCTCCAGTTCTTTGTGGTTGTTTTGCATCTTTTTGGTCTTGCTTTGCTTGTATCTGGTCATTTTTGTGTTGCTTTCTCTTTCTTTGTGGTTGTTTGACTTCTCTTTGAGGTTGGTTTGCATCTCTTTGTGGTTGTTTTGAGTCTCACTGATGTAACTTTCCTTGTTTTACAGTCATTTCGCATCTTTTTGGTGTCCTTTTAGATCTTTGTGTCCATATTTGTGTCAAGAAGAAGAAATTGATGAAGCCACAAAAAGAAAGAAAAGCTCAAACATCTTTTTTTTTCTGTACAAAACAAAAACTATTTCAGTTAGTGTGAGGTTTAAAACACAGCAAAGAACAATGGCTTGAAAACAATACTGATAATTCATCAGCTCACCATAAAGCTTCTACAGTTTCATTTCTGTCAGTCTACAGTCACGATTCTCTGGTTAGCTTAATGATGTTTATCTATAGAATCCTTTCCACACAAACAAGTAAACAACATGATTTGACTTTGGGCACATTTCAACCACCCAGTTTTTACACATATTGCGACTATGAAATAGAGACTAAAACAGCTTTTCTTAGCTGCTTTCAGAGAAAAGTTCCTCCTTTAAACGATGGTATCGTCCTCTTTTGGCCATGAGTTGGTCGTGTGTCCCCTCCTCCACGATCACTCCCTTCTCCATGAAGATGATGTGGTCTGCCTTCTCCACAGTCTTCAGCTGATGAGCCACAACCAGAACCGTCCGGCCTCGAGCCAGAACCTCCTGCAGAACCTGAGGAGCAAAATAACAGGTTACTTTACAGCCATGTACGCCTGATATTAAAGAGTGTTATTCGTGGAGTCAGGTTTTTTTTCAATTTACATCATACTGCGCGTTGACATCCAGTTTGCTGGTGGCCTCGTCCAGTATGATGACCTGTGGATCTCGAACCAGAGCTCTGATGACGGCGATGCACTGCTTCTGCCCCTCAGACAGTTTGCCTCCACTCTCTCCGACATCTGTGAAGACCAACAGTACGGTTAAAAATAATAATTCTAAAATAATTTATACCTGCAAATGGCTTTTTGTAACACACTTCAGCTAGTTTCAGAAATCTCCATCAGAATTTTAGAGTCAACCACTGAAACATCCCATGTGGTGGCCTTTGATCGCCTTTCGGAGGTACACCTGAAGCTGTAAACACTCCAACCCTCTTATGACATCTGCTATGAAAAGTTAATGTTTAACTACCTTTCCAATTACATTAGGTTAGACTCAGTTTTACTGTCACTACACAGCGTACAAGTACTACGCCAACAAATACAGAATCAGAAAAGCTTTAATGCCAAGTGAGCTTGCACACACACACCTAATTTGCCTTAATGACTTGGAGCTCACAGAACTCATGACGGGTTGTTAAACAACAACAAGACAGCAACAGAGTGAGTAAGTAATAAATATAAAATCTTAACCTAAAGTCCTAAGAGCAACTACATAAGGACATAAAGATAGCTTTAGCCATAAAACAGACTTTACTACAAAAACAAAAACCATGGCATATTTCCATAATAAGATGAAATCAATTACAGTATTGTGCATGGATGTTAAAGAACTGCACATAGATTAAAGTGCAGGAGTGTTCACTGTCATCTCCACTGTTTTGAGCGCCTTCAGTCAGCTGCCTGACCTCCTCTCTGTAAGCAGACTCATCGCCGTCCTGGATGAGTCCGGCAACAGTGGTGCCGTCTGCAAACTTCAGGTGCTTAGATATTGTTTTTACTGATTTTTAAAAAAATGATCTCACACTGATGGACTTCTACATTTTGTAATGTTTTATGTCTTTGTTGCTCCGTGGTTGTTCTCTTTTTATGTTCCCGCCCATGGACAACAGATGCAAATTAGCTGCTAGCTCACTCTGGTGCAAATACTTTAAATTGTAATGAAAATAAACAAAAAAAGTATGAAAGTAAAGAGATGCATACAGGATGAACAGTATAAATAATATAGACAGTGAATACAGGATGAGATGGGAGATACATGCAGTTTATACACAGTACGAGTAAAAATTACATCAGCAGCTTTTGTTTACACCCTGGCCTGTACAGACTTTATATATAATATAATAAATCAATAAAAAATGCACTCAATGTCACCATTTCAGTCACTCATTTACATTGTAGTTGGTGTCTGTTATGTCGGCTGTTTTTTAAACCATATTTTCCTACAATGTTGCTACATGCCAGGCTTTATTAGTGATCTTTGTCTCCTGATGCTCTCAGACACATTTAAGGTGACATTACTGGGTGTCGGGTGTTTTCGGTCCTTCAGCATCAGACAGTTTTGCCCAGGTGACCCAGCCGAGGCCGCTCAGACCTCAGCTTGTGTCTGAGCAGCAAAATACGGGTCATTTTTCTCTACCATGAAGCCTAGTGTGCTGCTTCCAATATTCTACAACAAGCCCTCCCTCTATGGACAAACAGTTTGCATTCCACCCCCTCTGTGGCAATCATCAACAAGGACCTGCTATGTAATGTGTCAGGCAAACACTAACATACAAGAGAGAAGTTTCCATTGCAACTCAAAGCTTGTGGCCTCACACTACATGACAAGCAAAGAACTAGAGAGCGACAAGCAACTACATACTAATGAACCTTAGTGGCACTAGATGGACAATAAAAATGTTAAAATAATGGCGCTAATGTTAAATTCATGCCAAACATAGAGTCATACTAAATTGAAAACTGACAGGTTTCAGTGATGCTTGTGATGAAAATACAATCATCTGTGGTAACCTCTTCGTATGGTATGAGATGTGTGAGATACCTGTATCGTATTCGTTCTCCATTTCAGAGATGAAATCGTGCGCTTTGACCTTCTCTGCGGTTTCTTTCACCTTCTCAGCGGTGCAGTCCTTCAGGCCATATTCAATGTTGTATCTCAGGGAACCAGAAAACAGCACAGGATTCTGGGAAACCAGGGCTACCTACAAAAATAAATCAAGATTAAACACACGTCAGTAGTGGAATTTAGAGTTTAAAGTAAATGTAGTGCATATTTATTTATTTATTTTTTACATGTTCTATGACGCGCAAATGTGAATACAAACGTGGGAAGTGGAAAAATGCAAATCAAAGCGCATGTTGCAGAGCATGTCGTCACTCATAGCTGAACTGCTCAGCTTGTTAATGATGATAAGTTAATCCTCTGTGCACCCTCTGAATAAAGGAAATAACTTTTATTGATGGGGTGGCTTTTCGTACCGACCAAAGGTGAAATTTCACTGGAGCAAAACCATAAAGCTTCATTTGAATAATGGAATATTTTATTTCCCAAATACATGCTAGATACGTCCGATATAGGCCGTGTAGGTCGTGCCGGTCCAGTACATAGGCTAGTTTTCACACCCAAACTTGCCGCCATCTTGAAGCCCGCTTATTGGAATATCCTGGATATAGATAATTCCATCCTGGATCGAGGATATGATAATAAACGGGCAGCATAAATTTAAAAACATACATTTATATATTAACTATTTAATCCACAAGCACAAAACCTGTCAGTTAAAAATCTGCAGGTTTGTTCTGTCTCCAGGCCACAACCTGCATTTATTTGCCCTGTTGAAGTCTATGAAAAGAGCAAGCCCCACGGTGACTGAACACCTCACGGTATCAGATTAGCAGAACCAATCGTCACAACGTTCATCGCAGCTCACAAGAAAACTGGTTCGGCAGCTCGAATGTTGAGTAAACAACAATATCATTCCAGTCTCAACTTGTGCAGACGGCTGGAGGCCAGGAGGACATTAGACAACTTTAACAGTGAAACAAGCCTTCACACATTCTGTGGGCTGCTCCCCTTAATTAAGGGAGCTTCGTTGGAAAGTTTATAATCAGAAATTAAATGATTCTTAGCACCTGATAACTGTGTTTGGAAAATGACACTGCGCTTGTGGTGTCAGTCCACCACTGAAATATCTCAACAACTAACAGACAGGGGGCCGTGATGTTTTCTACAGACGATCAGAATCCCCTGAAGATGCTTCTAACTCTGAGATCTTTGACTTCTTCTCTGGCATCACCAGCAGGTTGACTTTTGAGAGAGAGGCTGTGTTCAGCTTCTGTGCTCCACATATCTGGAACAAACTCCAAGAAACCTGCAGGACTGCTGAAACTCTCGGTTCCTTTAAATCAAGGTTAAAGACACCAGTTTACAGCTGCCTTTGACTAAATTATTGTACTAAACTATTTCAAGAATCGTAATACTTTATGTTCTAACTTTCACATTTTATAAGCTTTTACATTTTTCCTAAATGTTGTAATGATTGGTTTTAATGATTTTAAATGGTGTCTTTTAATGTGTATTTTCTGACATCTTTCATTATGTTTTAATGTCTCCGTAACACACTTTGAATCACCTTGTTGTTGAAGTGTAAGTAAACTTGCCTTGCCTTGCCTTTTGTGGTTTTTGCAGGAATCTGTTTGAAACTGACATTCAAGGTATCCCGGAGCTCACACACATTACATGTAGGAACAAAAAAAAGGTGCAAATTGTGCTTGTAGAGGAAACGAGTTAAGTTGCAAGAAAAACAAATGGATAGACGACTCCTTCTCCTGAGCACCTGTCTCATGTGCTACATCTTAAACACGCAAGTGATTTTTGTGGGTCGACCACTTCTGAGGAGGATTATTTTCCTCTGTTTGTACACAATCTGTCTAAACTCTTTATAAAGATGGTTTGTAACCTCTAGTTTATGTCTGAAAGATCCCATTGCTTAAAAACACTAAATTCACCTTCAAATTAGCTGCTAATCCTGGGGGTTTACATGCTTTTGACACTCACAGGAGATCATTTTCCGAATTAAATAAATGACCAAGCATAACATTTTTGTCTCATTTGTTTAACTGCGGTGTTTTCATCCAGTTTTATGGCTTGTATGAAAATCCGAAGATGTCTTAGATCATACTTGAGCAGAAAATTTTAAAGGGTTCCCAAAGCGCCACCGTGTTCCCACTGAGCCGACTGTACCTTTCGATGCAGGTACTTGTGTTTGTAATGGTGCAGCGGTTCTCCGTCCAGCAGGATCTGTCCCTCTTGAGGTTCATAGAGCCTCTTCAGGAGGCTGACGCAGGACGTCTTTCCGCTGCCGGAGACACCCACCAGCGCCGTCATCTTCCCTGGCTGCAGCTCCACTGACACCGACTGGAGAGGACAAGACGGCGCAACAACGATCCATTTAGGGCTCGGACAACCGCAGTGATATTTAACATCATTCCAAACAAAATGAGTTTGTTACACCGAGCCCATCATATGTTTACCTTCAAGACTGGTTTATCTGGAGCCGAGGGATAGCTGAAGGTAACATTCTGGAAAACAACTCTTCCCTCCAGCTTCTCAGGAGCCAACTCGCCCTCCTGTTTAGACTTCGGCGTCCGGTCGAGATATCCGAACACTTTGGAAATGACTCCAACTGTGGACACTGTGTCTTCGTAACAATGCAAAATCTCCTGCAACAAAGAGAAATTCATCAATAAAAAAAGCATCATACAAAATATCCTACTCAGACATCTGTGACTTGTCTCACCCTTAAATTCATTGTCATGGGCTTCTGGTACAGCAAGAAGGACACGAGGCTGCCGATGCTGAGGCGACCAGACGAGATGAGAGTTCGGGCCTGAACCAGCATCAGTATCTTAATGCCCAGAGTCAACAGCTAAAAGGAACAAGTACACAGGAATGAATCACTGACATTGGAGCTGAATTAAAAAAACAAACAAAACAGAAATCAGACAAAACAAATCTTTAAATATTACTGGAGCTGTGCATGTACACAAGCAGTCTTGCCGGGAAAGAATAAAATAAGATAAATTCATGAGATATCAGGTCACAATGTCTACTTTTGAAATATTTTTACTTGTCATGTCATAATTTTACAACCTAGTCCACAACATTGACTCAATAAGTAGACATTTTGATTTGGCATCTCACATATTTGACCAAATTTTTTACCAAAACATCATGTATATTTCCACAAATCTTTATATATTTTTATCTTCCTGGTGGAAATTAGCCTCCACACACGATCAAAAGTCATTTGAAATCTCAACATGCTCTCTTGCTTGTAACTGTGCATCATATCCACTGTCTTCTTACCCTCCGAATGAAGCAAAAGACTATGCTGTAGATTCCTGAACGTCTCTTGAGGCTGCACATCCGTCCCACAGCTTCCTGATACCGCCTCAGTTCACCTTCCTCTGCCTTGAACCTGCGGACGGTTCGAATCCCGCTGATGGTCTGAGAAACCAGGTCCTGGTTCTCAGCGTGACAGTCCTGAATCTTTTCTTTTAGCTCCTGAAGAAGTCAGAAACAATAAACATCAAACTGATTATATAAAAAGTCACAGACAAAATCTTCTTTGTTTTGTGCCATGGAGGACAACAACGGAAATAAACATTTGTGGTTTGATTTACTTTTCAACTATAGAATTATCCTCTACGCATGTTTTAAGACATAAAAATACTCGACGAAAAATAATTATTTATAGTTTAATTATGGACTTAAACCAGTCTTAAAGTGACTCCTTATTCTCCATAAATAATATAAATATTATTTGTGGCTCTTTTGCTTCTCTGTAAACTTTGCCAATGTGTAAGATGATCTTTGTGTTCTTCATTGTCTTCGTGGTTGATTTACTGCTCTTTGTGATCATTTAGTGTCTCTTTGTGATCATTTTGTTTTCTCTGTGATTGTTTTGAGTCTCTCTGGAACCACTTTGCACGTTTTTCTGGTTCCTGTGAGCTTTTTAGTGGTTGTTTTACTTCTCTTCATGGCCACTTCTTGGTCATTTTGCATGTTTTACATGTAGTTTTAGGTTTAGAGGTGCAGAGGCACTCTGCCCTTGATGGGCACAAGAAATTCTATACTTTAGTTCCGTACATTTTCACTGTCCCGGTGCACTGAATTGAGCAGAAAAAAACTTTCTTTCTGCAGCAGATGAATATTTCAAACTCCTTCTGGTTTATCACAGTTCACTTTTCTGCACAGTGAAGCTCAAAAATCTAACATTAAGTGAAGTAGCATCAAGCAAAAGGCAACTCAATTTACGAATAGATTCATCCTCATATGTGCTACCACCTAGTGGACAGTTTTGGTAACTGCCAGTGTAAAACCACAACTGCTTCACACCTACCTTCATCAAGGTGATGTATTTGTTTTGCAGTACAGCTAGAAGAGGCATCTCTATGCAGGTAAGCAAAGTGAGCTCCCAGGACAGGCTCAACATCACCACCAACATGAGGCAGGCTTTGACTGTGCTGCGAACTGCTGCGTTAGCGTTTAGCGCTACAGTTCGGCCCATCCTGTCCACGTCTTGGTGCAGGCGGGAAGCAAGAGATCCTGGATGATGAAACAGAAGGATAGACAGGATCAAAGATACGAATTTACAGCCAAGTTTCAATGTTGGTTGCAGATTATGAAGTGAAAGTGCTCAAACTAACCTGACTTTATGACAATGCAACTTTTTATCAATAATCAATTAGTTGTCAACTATTAAATTAATCGCCAACTATTTTGATAACTGATTAATTAGTTTGAGGTATTTTAAAGAAAAAAAAAAAGTCCAAATTATCTGATTCCACCTTCCTAAATTTGAATATCTATGACAGTGAACCAAATACCTTTGGGTTGTGGACAAAACACGATATTAGAGGATGACACTTTGGACTTTGAAGCGGGGAGCAATGCCGCCTATGATGGAAAAAAAACTGAGCAACATCCAAAAAAAGTTTCAGATAAAAAAGGAACTGTCCATTTACAGTTACAGTCTAGAAGAAGAACATGATAAACATAGAAGAGTCATAAGGATGCACAAACAGTGTTTGTGTAATTACTCTCACTGCCAGTAGGGGGAGATTAACGCTCACAGTTTTGGAAATAATGTCAAACAACCACATGTGGGGAAAAAGATATGGAAAAACAACCCGATTTCTTGACCCTATAAATTATGAAAGTCTTTCAATTATTTAATTTAATAACAACTCAAGAGAAACTTCAGGAATGTGACTCTCACCGGGGTTGTTCTCCCCAAAGAACTGTATTTCCTGCTGCAGGAGGCTCTGAAACAGCAAACCCTTCAGTCTCTTGTTCAGTCTGGCCAGAGTCCACATGAACGTGCCTCCTCTCAAGCCAGAGAACACCACGCTGTCAAAACAGACGGAAAACTAACGTTTAGTTCTTAATACATGGTAATGATCAGACAGGTGATAACTAATTGTGCTCTTGTTTCTAAGAGACTCACAAACAGAGCATAAATGTTTTCATTTCACTACCTTCCAAGAGAAGCAAGCGCCAGCCATCCGATTGCAGAACCGAAGCTGCTGTGAAGCACTTGACCCCCCAACATATCGATTACTTTCCCCTGATACAAGGGAATAAATGTGTCACCTGTTCGGAAAGATGAAAGACATGAATGAGGCAATCAGGGACTTGAATACTCATTTTAAATGCAACGTGAAAGCAGGTGTGGCACAACAGAGCATCAGTATTTCACACTTACTGATGACTGCTACGATGAGGAAACCGAAAGCTGCAACCAGATAAAGAGCCTCTGGTCTGAAGAGTTCCAGCGTCCTCATCAGCAACTGCCCAGTGTTCAGTTTGTCCACTTTCTTCTTTCCACTCCCAGACAGGCCCTTTTCCCAAACGACACAGGCCAACAACGAGGACACTGGGACCAACAGCAGCATGTTGAGGTCAGGAGATGGTCCTGAATGAGGCTCCAACGGAGGTTTCTTAAGGATCTGTCCACTTTCAAGCACAGGAGAAAGAAGGCAGAGGAGCGCCACCAACCTGCGGAGCACAGCCTGAGGTTTTCCCTCAGTCAGCAATAAGGTGAAAACATGGAGACAGACCCACTTTACCGCCCCGAAGGCCCACGCAGCTGCCAGTCCACCACAGCTGGAACACTGCAGCAGCAGCCGTCCAGCCCACAGAGCTGAGCACAGAACCACATCGAAGAGAAGGATGTAAAATCCACATGCGGCCACGTCCTTCATTTTCCTTTATCGGAGGGTCAGAGTGCAAGAAACCGATCCTAAAACACAGATATTGTAGTTACTCAGTAAAGCTGACACTCTGAATAATGTATAGAACTTTTTACCACAGAAGCAGAATATCAAATGTTTCAGGTCCTCCAGCCTCTTTTCCTGTTCTGGATTTTTCTGACACATACTCCTGATTTGTGTTGTAATTTTTTAACCTTCTTCTTCTTCAGTTCATTATCAGTGTTTAACAGAATGAAAACATGTGAAAGAGCAAAACGATAAGAGGTACAATCACAAGGGTCACACAGGAGGACGACAATTTATAAAACCGCTAACAAAACAGTTTCAGTCTCAAGTCAGACACGCTGCATGACACATATCCTAAACTGCAGCTTTTATAATTTGCTAACTGCATTGTTTCATTTTGAAATCTTGACTTGAAATCAATTAATTTGCTGAATTTGCAAAATCAGAGTTCAAAAATGTTTTTTCATCCAAATGATTTTTTTTTTACTAGTTATCTGTAACTTAACAAAATAGGGAAAATCTGAAAAAAAAATGTTAAAAGATTTATAGACACAAACTATGAAAATATATCTAGAATATTTTCAACAGCGTATAAAAACGTCACATCAAGAGAGATTTCGAGAAATGACTTCTAGGATGATATTTACATCTACAATGGAGGGACCTACTGGGAAAAAAAACCCATCAATACCACCTCCTTTTTACTTTATATAAAGATTCAGTGCTGTTAACTTTCGTCTGTCACCTCTGGGCAGCAGATTTGCTCTTATTATTATTATTATTATTATAATTATTATTATTACTATAGTTGTTTATTTGAGGTTTTGTGTTTGGGGACTTTATGGGTGAACTTTTCCCAGCATGCAGCACCTGCATCTTTTCTCCTGGAGAATTAAATATGTAAATGAGCATTAGTAACCTATAACATATACCAGTCTCACTTCAGCTGGCAGCTACAAGTTGGCAGCTCTGTGTAATTATTAATTAATCAGACTAATTCCACACAGTGGGATGATTTCACTTTACAGAAAGGTCACCAGACATACACGCAGAAGACAGTGTGTCACGTCACATTACTGTCACTTTGACAAACACTACAATCGCGAGGTTGAACTCTAAAGCTTTGTGGGTTGATCAAGTGTATTCCACGTTGCTCTGCTCTCAGCTGTGTAACGTTATATTCATTCATGAGCTAACTTCGTGTAACTGAACCGCTGTAGCTAGCTAGTTTTAGCTAGCTACAAACTGCAATAAAAGCTGGTAATGGCTCTTTAGGTAACCGCTGTCCTGCTGCTGTTTGACAATTAGCTGCACAAAGCCGTACCACACTAAAACATGTACCAACCACACATTATAGCGGATACTTTGAGACACCTACCGTGTGTTTCCTGCGCAGTCCGCAGCGGGCTAACTGGTTGCTTCATGGAGCTGCTTTACTTTCACTTTTACTTTCAGCTGGATGACGTCTGCTCGACCAGTTTATCACTGCGGCTCCTGTAAACACCTGGAACAAGGTGTAAACACGCCAAATACAAACCTCCGGGATCATGTCGGTTCATTTATCTCTTCGTTTCAAAAGCACGAACCGACGTTTGGGTGACACTTTTCAAAGTTTGGGCTTTACTGAGCTCCAACCTCTCTGCCGCGTTTTCACACAGCGGCCACAAGATGGCGGCAAACGTCAGCAGGCAGCCATCTTTCTTCTGCTTTGTTTTTTTTTCTTAAATAAATGATTTGATTTAAGAACAACAATCTTTCGTCTTCTCTCTTTAAATATTCTTTTTTAAACTAAATTAAACATGCAATTTTTAAGCACTAAAGTGAGACTCTATGGAGTCCCGTTTTATGTCCAGGTTAATAAATAAACATAAAATATTTTTACGAAACAAATCTGAAATAAATGCTGAAAACGAACAAATTCGGCAACAAACATGTAAATAAATGCAATAATTGAAGTATTAGGTTTTTGATTTTTAAGAGGACATTGTTCAAAACATCATTTTTATATATTTCATAGTTTCACATTAATTTGTTTCAGGATTTCTTTTAGCACCATGTTTATTTGTTTCATTGAAATATTTATAAATATATTTAATATTTTATAAAGAGACTTGCATAGGAGACTACAGACAAAAATATTTAGCTTTTTGTTACCATGCACTGGTCAGTTTCTAGATTTCAGGATGTTTTTCATTCAATCATCCGTTTTTAGACCAATGAAAACACAATTAGGTGTTTATTTTTTATTAGATTAATATTGCAAAATTTATGCAAACTAGTCCATATTCCATGTATAGTTCCCAGTTTAAGTATTTAAACATAACATTTCAGAAAATGTGTAATACAAAGAACTGAAGAGGCCTCTTGGGTGACACGTGAAACATCTTTGAGAACCAAAAAGAAAAGCTCATTTACCTTGACTGAAGCTATTCAGATTAAGTTACAGTGATAGTTGTTGTTTTAACACCTGTATACCTTTCAGTCCATCCATCCATTATCTATACACCGCTTAATCCTCACAAGGGTCGTGGGGGGCTGGAGTCTATCCCAGCTGACTCAGGGTGAAGGCAGGGGACACCCTGGACAGGTCACCAGTCTATCACAGGGCCACACTTAGAGACAGACAACCAAGCACACTCACATTCACACCTACGGACAATTTAGAATCACCAATTAACCTCAACATGTTTTTGGACTTGTGGGAGGAAGCTGGAGAACCCAGAGAGAACCCACGCTGCACGGGGAGAACATGCAAACTCCATGCAGAAAGATCCCGTTGCCCCCACCGGGACGCGAACTGGCGACCTTCTTGCTGCGAGGCAACAGTGCTAACCAACTGTTCCACCCTGCAGCCCCCTTTGAGTCCAGATTAAATTTTTTTTAAATTTAATGTAAGGATCTGTGTTAATTTCAACTCTGATAAGAGCAACTTTGGGCATTTTTCAGGAATTCATGGGGCAGTTACTGACAGCTGTAGGACATCTGGTCCAAAATCCATTTATAAATTGTGCAAGTATCACACTGTGCATGTTCTCTTTTCTTTTTAAAAAAATAAAGAGTAATCCAAACACACTTGAAAAAAAAAAAAAATCACAAGAGACATGATATTGATATTCAAACATTTATTTATCCCCTGATCACAGCATAGAAATAAAGAATTTATACATAATAAAAGATAGAATTTGGCCCACAGCAAGACAAGCCTCTAAACATTACTAAAAATCCTCCAGGTGGGAAAGAGGTTTGTTTACTGCAACGCAGCTTATACCTGAAAAGTGTATTCGGTTTTCAGTCCCTTGAAACAGCTTTGTTCAAAACTACACCGGTGGCGCGATTGTGATCATTTATCAAGACGAGCCTCTGATTAGAACTGAACTCGTCTTCAGTGTCGTAAAGCTTTGATCACTGTGAGGTGCTCAGTGTCCCAATTATTCCTCTCGTGAAATGTGTCTTACCTCTGAAGAACCGCGACATGCAATTTGAAAATCATCCGCGTTCCTGAAAAGGTGTGAAACTCTCCTGTGCTTGTGAGTAATCGTTAAGAATACGCCACCTATGTGGAAAGGCACTGTTGCATTAAGGAATGAGAAGCATGCGGAGGAAAAAAAACATGATTTGACCTTCTTCTTATCTGCTCATATATTCAGTCACATGGATACACGTTCCTGCTTGAAACACAAAACATGTAAAAAAAAAAATGAAAAAAAAAACACAAAAAACAAGCAGACTGTCATTTTCTAAACCTTGTTCAGACCGATTAAAGGCTTATTATAATAACATTTTAGCAGTTAGCGTTTACAGGATAAGGCTGGTGCAGGTTTATGTGACTCTTACAGTGAACAAATCCCATTTAAAAAGACTAAAATCAACAATGATTTTATTGATATGAAGGAGGTAAAAATTAATCATAAAAACCGCAGTTCCTGCAACACACACAAGACACGATCGCTGGTAGAAAACTGCCAATAGTGAAAGCTAATGTACCTAAAAGGACAGCTGCACATTTTAATCTCTTTAACTTACTCAAGTGCATTTAAGTCCAACACTGTCCCTTGATGAAGGATACATGGAAATCACTTTGGCCAAATCAAAGCAAACTTAATGATGTTCTACCTTTGTCTAATCTGTGTCGTATCAGTTGCAGTAAAACGAACTTGGCAGCAATTCAGGACCAAACATTAAAACATATTTAGGCATTTTCTGAAACGGAACGCATGCAGGTTCCGGTGGCAGCACGGTGCGCACAGTTAGCCGACTGCTTAGTGGGATTAGTGCGATCGAAAACTCAGATTCAAAAGTCTTAACTCGCGTCTGTTTCTAAACTACTAATCTTGCTTTGTAGCGCGGCCCTCAGGTGAGTACGAGCAGCATGTGCTGGTTTGGATCGCACCCAACATCCACAGAAACCGTGAGCTCTTTACGGAGGTGATTATGACTTTATCTTGAGGCACTACGTTGAGAAATATGAAGACGTTTATCATGTCAGTTCACTGACTCCTACATAAATGTGTTTGAAATCAAATTACTGAAGCAGTTTCCCAGCACTGGTCTGGTGTCCAATCACAGCTGCTCTCATTGTTATTATTTACTGAGGGATGCACTATTTTACATGAAGGTATAAAGTGGGAATCCAAAACCACCATCACTTGCTGTATCATCATCAGCAAGAGCTCACCTTCCCCTTACGTCTGTAAACCCGTAAGACACTAACACGCCTTTAAAACCCTGTTCCAGCAATCAACCATTTATGATTTTGATTTAAACAAAAGGGTCATGTATGTATCTTGGCTTGATGAAGTGAGATACCTCATGTGTGAAAGATTGTGTTACAAGATCAGCAGCATTTTACGAGAAACGGTACAATCACATTGTAGTTCTAAGTGCACATCTGTTCATTTTGGTATGTAACAGTGCAGACCATCCATAGCGTGTGTTTAATGGCGCTGCAGGTGGACAGCAGGTGTGATCATCTGACCATGCTAAAGTAAACACCTGGCGAGCTGCCGCAAACATTAGGAATTACTTGCCGGACCGTCTGCGTGTTAAAGGTGACGCACAGTGTGAGCAGGTTCAGGTGCTGGTGGTGAATTCTGCCCCGTTGGCCGAGGCCTTGTCTCTGTCGCCCTCTGTGGGCACGCTGCGGTACTGGCAGCCGGGAGCCGACTCGATGGGGGGGTCGGGCGGCGTGGAGGGCTTACCCTGCCTCCTCTCCTTTTTATCCAGCAAGTAGAAGGACACCATGAGGAACACGGCGGCCGAGGAAACAACGGCACTGCAGGCAAGAAAGACGTGGTAGTAATGGCCTGTACTGTCCACCAGAGCTCCTGCAAGATAGAAAAAGGACAAAGTCAGCATTTCAACATTTGTGTTTGCAGGTTCCATAGTTATCTTTCCAATGATGTGATTTGATCGTAGATGAAGGAAAATGGCTTTAAAGTCCATCCTTGGTCATTGATTAATCAAAGTCACATATTTAGAATTTCTTTTCCAATCCCTTTCTGTACTCTGAGACTCAAAACCTCAAAATAATACCGTTACTCGGAGTCAGAGATGCTCAAAAAAAAAAAAAAGGTCAGATTTTCAACTGCATGATGCTCCCAGAATTAATCACATGTGATATGCTTGCTGGAAAAATCAACCAAATCAAAGCTTAAAATCATGATGTGTCAAAATCTCTTCTAAAGGTCCCATTTAAAAATAAACCCAACATTAAGAGTTTATACTAGATATCGGGGAAAAGCAACAACAAAATCTGCACATCTCTTCGTACCTGGAAATCCATTGGGATTCAGCTTGGACCAAGTCATTCTCTGGTCACTGATTAAACCCCTAAAATCTAATCCGTGTATCACAATTACATTTTTACAAGTCTTTAGAATAAAAATAATCCCTTCCTGCCCGAATACTCTGAGACCCAAAACCTGCCAGGCATGTAGTTTTAAAAAATATATAGCCAAAATTACAGCGTCTCTGAGCTCGAAATGCTAAAAACAGGAAAAAAATAGTTGGATTTTCAACTTTTCAACTCAAATCAAAGCTTAAGAGCATGATATTTAATCAAAATCACTTTTTTTTTCTACAGGTCGTACTTTAAATAAGCCAAACATTGAGAGTTTGTGCCACACCAAAAAAAAAAAAAAAATAAATAAATTCTGCACATCTCTGCCCAGCTAAACATCCATTTGGGGCTCGGCTGTTTCTAGAAGTCACGTGACACAATCGGCCGATCTGCAGGCTGTGTTTATGAACTGAAAGTAATTATAACTTTAAGTGGTAAAATATCTACCCTAACTAATGACTTTATTAAAATAAAACACTGTTTTGAGTTTGAGTTTTGCAGGCGGGACAGGATTTATGTAACTACAATCATGAAAAACAGCCACTTATTCAGCTTTTTGTGAGCAAATTCCCTTAAATAAATACTGCAAGATGATAATTTGATCATTTTTTTTCACTGCTTCTATTCTTGTCTATTATTTTAACTGTTGTCTCCCCTTGGATTCAATTGCAGGATTAAGTAATCAATCTAAAGTTGGTTTTATTCAATGTTTTTTCTTTCTATAGGCTATTTATTGGTGTCTTTTTGTTATTTTGTTCACATTTTCCAGGTCACTAATGTTCGGTTGCTGTGATATTTGCTTTTTAAAATGAATTTAACCTTTAAAGTCATTCAAAAAAAAGCAATCGCAGCTGGTAGGGACATGCAACCCAGCAGCAGTTTTCTTTGTTTTTAGAGGTTGGATGTTAAAATAATTTGGGAAACGGGTTTCTTTGTTAGTAGGCGCACAACCAATCAGCTACATGAGTGTGATGCTTGTTTGTAAGCATGAAGTTTCTTCCTCTGAAAATAACTGTCAAAATTTTGTCTCTCATTTTCCTTGTAAAAGCAACAAATGCATCTTCCTGTAAAACAAAACATTCGATCTTTTCTGTCGCAGTTTCCTATAAATACAAGCAGCTAAAACGTAGATCTTAGCCAATGATTGTAATGTTCCATGTGACCATCAGCAGTGAAGCCTGTCAGACGTGCTGCTGGAGTAAAGTGATCCTGTGTTGTGGTTACGTCACTGCTGGACCATACGAGCAGCAGATAAACATAGAAGTCATCTGAAACCTGAGCCTCTGCCCTTTTCCGCGCTCTGCTGCCCATACTGACTGAGCGGTTATTTACAGCAACAGCCTGCAGCGGCCTCTTCCCCGACATCTCAGCGGAAACACGTGCACAGAACGTGACGACGACGTTTTCGGTGTGTTTTTGACATTTCTGATTTGTAGTTTAGAGCAGATGAAGAGAAAAGATGTAAACGAAGCGGGAAATGAGGGCGAGATTCACTGTGATGATACTGGCTCACTGGATTTTCAGTTTTTGGTAAAATAGTCCAAAAAAGAACAGACTGGACTACAACAAAAATGTTGGAGACAATGTGGAAACTATAATGCCAATCACAGTCATATTTTCTGGTCATGCACCAAATTACAACCTTTCTGGGATGACAGTATTGGACTTTTGGAGGACATCTTAAAATATAAGGTTCCCAGGGACCCACGGATTCTGTATCTGGGATTGATCCCAGAAGGAGTTATTATGAAAGAAGACAGGTACCTTTTCAAAATAATTCTTGTTGCCTACAAGAAGGCCATTACTAGGAACTGGTTAAAAAGCGATGCCCCAAATACAGGGCACTGGATGGTCATTATGGAGGAGATCTACGCAATGGAGAAAATCTGCGAATCAAAGCAGGTGACTTTGCACAAAAATGGAGGAAATGGACACTATTCAAAAACAAAGACAATGCTTACTCAACTAACTGAGAATTTGTATGCCCCCTTTTGTACTATTTTATGTTATTTATTGTCTCTGTTCTTGCTGTCTTTATACGAATAAAACTAAATAAAAAGTTTAAAAAAAAAAAAACCACCACAAAATAGGCCTTTTTCTAAACCCGTTTCTTTAACCTTCATGGAAAACATCATGAGATTAATAAAAAAACTCATGAGGACACAGCAAAATTGGTTCTGCTGTAGATGGTGCCTCGCTTCGATTATCTGAGCATTTAGAGAATTTCTCCTGTCGAGGCAGCCTCTCCTCTTAGTTAGGAAACTTCTTAAGCAAAAATATCCTGTTTGACTGCAGCCTCAGCGATTCTAATATTGATCCGACGGGGACGGAGAGATACAGCGGCTCGATACTCTGCTACTTGACAAGACACAAGCACATTTAAAAAGCATCTTTCGCAGTTTTACAACAGCTGCAGTGTTCAAACTACATGTCAGTGTTTTGTTTTACTACAATTAAAAGGTGGAATGGATTTGGGAGCATATCAGGGAGTTTTTCTATTTCACTCCTCAAAACCAAATGCCCAAAAATATTCAGATGAAAGAAAGAATCGGAGGTCGACTTTGAAGAAACAGATGTACTCTGTGTTTTGAGCGACTGCTACACGCAAAATAATTGAATTAACCCCCCTAAAGCAGGAATGGAAATGTTTCCGGGGGGCACTAGAAAGTGACGGACAGGGCTGGGACACACTTGTTGCTTTCGTGATTCCTTGTGAGTTTAATGAAATCGACCGTCAGTCAGGTTGGAAAATAAGCCAACAATTTAGTTTTCTGTTTTAACCTTCTAAAGACACGATTTATAAACCCTTCAAGAACTGTTTTGCTTCGTCTAGTCCTGCCAAAATTATTACAAAGTGGCCTGATTAGTTAGAGCTGGTGCCGTATTTCAGTCAAAGCCAAACACCACATAACGGCAGCAGGTGCATTTTGGGTTTAAGCCGAGTTAGAACGGAAAGTCCAACAAAGAGGCGATAGATTCGCTGCAAGAAGGTGGAATTTGATAAGATAACAAAATGACATAACATCAGGAAAAGCTGTGCCTAGCAGAAAAGCAAGAGGATATAAGTATAAATCAGTACTGTACACAAAGTAAGTGAGCTAAAATCAGACTACAGAATAGAAAAGCAAGAAGTAATAGTGCCAAACGTACTGAGTTAGTAAATTAGTATCACACATGCTCCTGAAACATTCCACGTGAATTTAGACTATCGCACAGATTAAAATGCATTGAAGGTTATTTATGCTGAAGATTTGAAGTAGTTTATCCAGCTTGCTTCCTCTGTAAGCAATGGGGAACACCAACCGTAGTTCTTGTTCTGTGCAAAAATGCATTTCTAATTTTACTTGAAACTGTAACGAGGCTGCAGCTGAGTTCGACACAAAGGTCCTCTTCAGTATCAGATTTCCTCATTTTGGTTTCCTGTTGATGGTTCTGTGTTGAGCTGCACTGGATGGTTTGCAACACAAAGATTGAATCTGCTTCTCAATAGAACGTAACTTTAGATGGTGTCCGACAACCTGAGATTTGTAAAGCCTCGTATTAGTTTCAGGTGGAAAGCTTTGACAAAATACATGCACAGAAAGTGGGCAGAGGTTTTACAAAGGACTCTATGTAGGGCCAACACAAACGGGAGCCGTGAAACCAGTTCCAGAGTTTAAAAAGGGTATCTGACAGCTTTGTAAAAAAAAAGAAAAAAAAAGGAGAATCTATTCTCTAAGCTGCTTATTACCTGAATACAGGTACAGCTGAAACCAGAAGTTTACATACACTGCATAAAAAGACACAAAACCTTTTTTTGTTTCCTCTGACATTAAATCAAACGAAATTTTTCCTGTTTTAGGTCAGTTACCAAAATTAATTCTATTTGCTACAGGTGTGCCTCCAATTAACTCAAATGTTGTCAATTAACCTATCAAAAGCTTCCAAAGACATGACATCATCATCTGGGATTTCCCAAATCGCTTGAAGGCGTAGTCATCTTAGTGTTGTAAACTTTTGACTTTGAAGAAAGCAGTAAAAAAAAAAAATTCTCTCATTATTCTGGCGTTTAGCAAATAGAAAATAATTTTGGTAATCCTAACAGGAAAAAGTTTAGTCTGATTTAATGTCAGACAGTGGTTTAAAAAAAAGGTTATATGTCTTTTTATACAGTAAATTTCTGGTTTCAACTGTATGTACAGAGTATGAAGTGCATTCACATTGACTGAGTGTTTATGTCCAACAACATGATGCACAGCAGAGATTGAGCTGAAAACAAACTGCAGATGGTGATGAGACAGCCTTTAAATAAAGATTTAAATCTCTGGTTTAGCATTAACCAGGAACAGCAGCAACATAACACTGCAGATTAATGTCAATCTGTGCACGTACTACAGTGAAGTAGTTGATTTCTTGAGCGTACAGTGTGCTACTTTATCTGTGTCACTCTACCTATACCATGACTAAACATTCCCCCTGCCTGCAGCCTATAAACCTCTTTGATGAGGCAAATCCTGTCTAGATGTTTCCCATTACAGTGTCCTACATTCTTACCACATCTCTGCTCTGAATCTCCCACCCTCTGTGCTCACTTTACCTGCCAGTGGCGGTCCTGCGACCAGCGTGAAGGCCTCCATGACAGAGAGGAGGCCCAGGGCGGAAGGGAAGCGGCTCATCTCCACGGTATCCATGAGGACAGTAAACATGAGGGAGCCCACCACGCTCATGGACAGCCCGTAGATCACCACGTAGACCAGCAGCACGGGGAAGCTGGCCCCGATGGTGCAAATACTGTTACTGAGTCCGTTGATCAGCAGCGCAAAGGCGAATGCGTAAATGTGTCGCCCTTTGAACCAGCTGAAGCCGAGGATGGCGCCAAAAGGAGGCCGTATCACGATGTTGACGATCCCCAGGATGGAGAGCAGGAAGGCCGCCTGGCTCGGCTCCATGCCATTGGCTGTGGCGTAAGGAACCAGGTACACCAGCGGCACCACAAACCCCAGCATCATCCACGTGATGCCGATGGAGTACACGCGGTAGCGCCGGTTGTTGCGGAGCTGATCGAAGGCCATGTGTTTGATCACGGCGGCCGCAATGCGGCTCACTATCGTCCTCACCCTGCCCTTTTCTTTCCCGTCATTGTCCTCGTCCGGAGGAGGAGGTCCGTGGTTCATCAGCGGCTGCCCTCGAGGCCTGTTGGGCTGCAGAGGCCTCATCACAGCACCGCACACGCAGCAGTTGAGCAGGACAGCCCCCAGGATAAGAAAGCTGCCCCTCCAGCCGAACTCAGTGTGGAGGTAGTTTCCCAGGAAAGGCAGAACGCACAGTCCCACAGCTGTGCCGGTGGAGGACAGTGCGTTCACGAATACACGACGGCGCACAAAGTAGTGTCCCATGATTGCCATAGCCGGCTGGAAGCAGAAGCAGAAACCCAGTCCTGTGATGAAGCAACGAGACCGTCAGTTTCAGCATCAGATATGGAAAGAAAAAAACAAAAAAAACAAAACGGTGCCAACTGATTGAAAAAGTCATGTCATGTGTAATTTAAAGCTGTCCATCGTACACATTTTCCAAACTTGACATATATTTACCACAGCATGCTTCCCTGTGCAGGCACTACAGAGCACAATTTTGTCAGAAGTAATAGTCAAAACTATGAAAATAAGACCAAAGCTGTCTTCCTTTAACCTTAAAGCAGGTTATCTTTTTCCTGTTTAAGCATCATAAAGTGATTTTTTTTAGGTCACTTTGGAGCAGAAAAAGAAAAGAATGGATTGACTTGATCTTGGCCAGCTGGTCTGTGTGTGTTTGGTGTTGGGCAGGTAGTCAACAATCAGGTGTCGGGTGGGATAATAAATGTGCTGAGAGTTTGCTGACCTGTGACGACTCCAGCGGTGATGTAAAGCTCGACGATGGACCGGGAAAATGAGCTCGTCGCCATCCCCAGGCCGCTCAGGACTCCGCCCAACATGACCGTTTTTCGGCAGCCAATTTTTTCCTGCAACACGCTACATAAGGGACCTGTGGATCAGATTTAATGCTCTTAGTTGAATGCATACTGGAGCAGAAGTGGGCAAAAGGCTTACACGGCAGAGGAGAGGCTGTTTTCTTAATCCTACCAACACGTTTCAGATAACTTGTGTTAGGCTGTAATCTGTACCAACTGAGTGACCTGCTTAAGGCCCGAGAGCATAACTGAAAATATGTTTACTCTCTGGCTCACTTTCTAACTATATCGTATAAATCTGATATATACAAGTTTGTTGACCCATATAGCCGTCAGTTCAGTTGAAAATACAGTGTGTTTGTGTACAGAGCAGATTTTCCTACCTGGAAAATATCATTTTACTCAACAGCTGCTCATAAATCACCTTCGGCGGAGGAGGAAATTTCACGTGTGTGTTTGAAAGCCTCGATGCTAAATGCAGTGGTGTCCACTGGTTAAAGGTCACAAACAGGAGTGTTAAATTTAACTCAGTGTGAATTTGTTGTTTGGCAACAAGGTGGTGAGGGTGGCAGGGTAACCAAACGTTGCAAACACAGAGCCACGTAAAACGCTCCCTCTACATACTCTTACTTTTAGTAGGAGTCACTTAACATTAAAGCTTGAATTCCTGCTGAACAGAACAAAAACTTGGTGGGAGGTGGCTGCTTTGATTGGTGCAGCTACAGATAAAACTTAGATCCTGGTCACATTTCTTTCAGCTAAGGATCATTTCTATGATCAAAGCATTCCTGTCTCCAGCATGCGTGGGACTTTTGTGCAAAACATGCAGCCACTTCCAATTCTCCTGTCTTGGCAACTCGACTTTCTTCAGAACACCATAGAACTAAAAGATAAATCAGGCATTATTATTATTATTATTATTATTTTAATTGTAAACCACAAAAAGACAAAATCAACAGTGTCTTAGTGTCTTGTACTTTCTGTTGGCACCCAAGTGTGCTACAAACCGGCATTTTCATTCTCTGGTTCTGTTTTCAAATGCTCCAATTCATAAAGTTGTATATAAACTAATTCCTCCCCATCAGCTACCATCTTTGTTTGCAGAACTACTGTCATGAAAATCCTACAATATCAGGGAAAAGGGAGGATGCTGTTTTGCACTAAACCTACAACTCAGGTGCTGCAGCATCATTTTACTGTGACATTAAGCAAAAAAAATAAAAAATTCCATCTTTGTTATTGTGTCCATATTTATTCAGCATAGGGATGCAAACCTCAGCTATTTTTCTAACGGCCTTATCCAACAACAACAATTAATACTATAAAATTAGCTCAATGGACATTTGGTACCAAAACAAAGCCACTTTGAATGTGATCATGAGCCACGAACAAAGCCTAAGTCATGCAATATGGCCACTCTAATGACATATATAATCAGCCACAGCGATGCCATCTTCACACCTTATTTAGAAAATAAACGCGATAGCCGGTAGGCATTACGCATCACAGAGGTCTTTGTCATGGTGCCAGTTGCCAGCTAAACCCCCACAATATTCTCTGCTTGCCAACACAGAACTGCTGGTAGCCTGATTGGGCTAGCAAAATGAGACGACTATTGTATTTAACAGTACGGGCCTCTGCCTAGTGGCCTGACCAGGTACTACTGCTAATGTACAACACATTTTCTGACATGCACGTACTTCATCTTCTGCCATATCGGTTAATATGTTTTTGATTTGTTAAACTTTTAAAAGCAATTAACTGCTAGTCATTACCATGTCTTTTGGTATTTAACAGTACTGTATTTAACAGCTGTTGCCTCGCAGCAAGAAGGTTGCCGGTTCGCGTCCCGGTGGGGGCACCGGAATCTTTCTG